ATATATATATATATATTAGAAAATGTGTGAATGTAACCGAGACGCAACGTTAGCCAAGTGGTTGACAGCTGACATTGGCCGTGTTTGTTTATGCTCATAGTTTTCTGTGTGCTTTCAGCTTCTTCACGGTCCACTCGGTGAAAAAATACACAGACATTAGTGTTTACATCCTGAATTATACCCACAAAGGACGTGTGCTTTGCCGGGAAGAGTTAATTTTATTGCAACAGCTGTTAATGTTGCAGTCAACGTGCACTTCAGACCCTTGCACAGTTTTTAATCATACAAGCTTCCACGTCTCCTTTTATTGATCTTGAACTTATGATCTTCAGCTTCAGGCCTTTACTGTTTATTTAAGATGTCAATTTCCCCTTTTCTGTTTATATTTACATACATTTTAAGCATTTCCTGCTCCCTCTCTCTTTGTCTCCCTCCTCAGGTTTGCTTTGACTGCTCAGTTAAAAACCCCAGTTGGGCCAGCATCACCTATGGTGTATTCCTATGTATAGATTGCTCTGGGACACACAGGTCTCTTGGGGTGCACCTGTCTTTCATCAGGTAAGTCAGGAACTGTTTATATAGCACTTTTCAAAACAAAAGTTTGCAAGGTGCTTCACAATAAAAGCATTTAGCAGGAGATAATCAAACAGGTAGGATAGTAACACAAATATAGTTTAAAAAAAAAAAAAGTAATATCTGCAAATATAAGTGACTGTTTAGACTTTTTTTTCTCCAAAAGTGAGAGTTAAATTATTCCAGACGCTTTAAGAAAAATACACTTAAGCGTGTAGAGGCTGATAGATTGTACCTACACTTTTATTTTGTACTCCTAACACCTTTGGCAGCCAATGGAAAGAGGCCAGCACTGGAGTAATGTGATCCCTGTGCTTTGTCAGATGCCAGGGAGAGATTTATTTTGGAACAGGAGATGCGGTTTGTACCTGCCAAACCATTTTGTGACATAAAAACTCAAGGTTTGTTTAAAATCCTGACATTGTTGTGTTACACAGGTCCACCGAGCTGGATTTTAACTGGTCGTGGTATCAGCTGAGATGTATGCAAGTGGGAGGCAACGCCAGCGCGGTCAGTACCTGACGGCAGAATATAAGCTACAGATTGAAATCGGAGCGTTGTGTAACGCACACGATAACATGACTCTTCCTCTTATCTGTTCTGATATTCCCACGGCAGGTTGCATTTTTCAGTCAACATGGGTGCACAACCAGTGCTGCCAATGCCAAGTACAACAGCCGAGCTGCTCAGCTGTACAGGGAGAAGATAAAGACTTTAGCCACGCAAGCCACCAGAAGCCATGGCACTGAGGTAATGCAGACACTTGTAGGTTGCTCCACAGAGTAAAAAGGAAAAAAAAGAACTAAAACAAACATTGGCTCCCTGCGTAGTACCTCTTTTCTCATCACCCTTTGCATAAAATATAGCTGTGTCACTTTTTACCGCTCTTCTTCTGTACAGTTGTGGCTCGACAGTCAGGCTCCTCTCTCCCCAACGTCCCCCGAAGACAAGCAGGTGGATTTCTTCAGTCTGCATACACAGGTATAGGAGTGTGCTTTGTTTAGGTGGGATTTTAACCCATATCTGCTTGTTGGATACCTACACAGCAGCAGGGGGTAGTAATTTCACAGTGTGACTCTCTTTTAATGTACAGGCTCTTACTGAAAATATGAAAATGGACAAAATGAGTCTCAGCTCTTTCCCATCAGAGAAGACTTCAACTGAGGAAACAGAGGAAGACAAAAATGGTATATGAAGTCTTTAAAATAAAAACTAGTTGTATTTATCTCCACCATTTATGTGGCTCATACCATGTACATTAAACCTTTTCAGGTAATCTAGATGAGGGTCCTAGTGTGGAGATGCTGAGCGTTTCTCCAAAAGCAAATCCAGGTTGGTTTATATTCCTCATGTTTAGGAATTTCCCATTTATTTAAAGACCTTGAACTGTAGGAGATGTAACTTATCTGTCCTTCCCTACAGAGCCTTCCTCTCTTTTTAAGAAGAAGCCAGTTGCTGCCAAGAAAACAGTACGTACTCATTGCATCAGAAAAGCATTATCATGTATGTTTGCAGGCTGTGGATTCATAATGTGTTTTCAAAAAACTGTTTCTGCTTCTAGCTGGGCTCTAAGAAGGGCGGCCTCGGTGCTCAGAAGGTTAGCAGTAAGAGTTTCTCAGAGCTGGAGAGGAAGGCTCAAGCTGCCGACAAGCTCAGAGAGAGAGACGAGGGCACGAGTGCTGGAAAGAAGAATACTCAACAGGAGGAATCCATGTTCGTGTCTTGACTTTTATTAAGTTGTTTCTCTAATTTTTTGTGGTCAATAAATGTATTTTTTGTGTTTCTGTTAGCTGCAGTACTCTCTCTCTCTCTCTCTTTTTAAACTCACCTGCCTTCTTCCCTCTCAGCGCTCCATCCCTGCGACTGGCCTGTAAAGAGCTTGAGCAGCATAGGAAAATGGATGAGCAGAAAATGAAGGGATTAGAGGGGAATAAGAAAGAGCAAGCTGATAGACTGGGCATGGGTCTAGGCTTCAGGAGGTACGCAGATCAAGAGACAAACACTTTTGATCCTAGAGCCGATTGAAGAATTCATTCTAATGTCTCTTTATCGCTCCATTTTCTGCTCCTCTCTCTAGTGGAGTGTCTCACTCTGTGACATCGGACATGCACATGATCCAGCAGGAGAATCCACGTGGGACCAAGACCACCAAAGGACAACGGTTCACTGAGGACGACGACGATGAGGGGTCCTTCGGCTCTAGGTCAGATAATCATTATTTTTAAGTTCTGTTACAGGTATTATTAATACTATTATTGGTATGTTCACTTGTGCACAAAGAAAATTTTAAAAGCATGTTATTTAATTGTTTATGTTACATAGATGTATTATTTTGTGAATATATTGTGAGTTAATGTCAGTATTTTTACACTGCTTTGGCAGTACTGTGTTATAATTTAATTTGAACTAGTGAATTGAAAACATGTAAAGCTTTTAAAGGCATTTCTTCACCTGACATTATTCTGAACTACTCCTTTCTGTAGGAACTCCTCCCGGTTTGAGGATCAAATAGAAACCTCAGATATTTTCTCCTCTCGGTGGGACGATAAAGGTGACGGAGGGGGCTGGATGAAGGAGAGCAAGAAGCCAGAGCCGGACTTCTACTTGACCTCCAATATATCATCACTGGATGACAGGTAGCAGCATATTGTGTGTTTTAATGTAATGTACATCCTGTAACTCATGACTTTTAAAAACATACTGTTGTTGCTTGATACAGTTGGAATTTAACCCTTTTAACTTCTAGTTATCATTTATCAGGTTTTAGTGTATTCATATTGTGATCATGTGATTGGATCACAGTTTATCTTACGTTTTCGTTCAAATTTCTGTTGTTTAATGATTTCAGACAAAATTAAGTTTGGTTTTACACATGGAAAGAGTTTATATTATGTGCTTAGGTGTTAGAATGTAGGATGATAGAAAAACACAAATAAATGTCAGGTTTGCTTTCTAATTAGGGCTAAACTAAAGTCTTAGCTAAATGTTTTATTATATCACAATTATTTTCACTTGTAATCATTGTTTGCTATCAGGCCCACATCCAGAAGAAAACCAGAACCAGTGTCAGACACGGGAGAAGCTCGGGTAAAGTTTGGAGACGTGAAAGCAATCTCTTCTGACATGTACTTTGGAAAACAGGACAACTCTGAGGTACACAACGACAACACGCAGAACCACATGTGTTCTATACTGTATGTATTGTGTTGTACATGATCAGAGTTGACTGTAGTTTTTATTGTAGATTGTCAATATAGCTTTTCACATGCATATAAGTCACAGTACACATTATCTAATCATGGATTGTGAAACCAGTGCTAATAGTGATTGTAGAGAACTATAGTTTCATTTAAACTTCAAAACAGGTAGTTTAGACTGTTTGTAGTTGTTGATATTTTAAGAACTGTTTTTTTCAACCTGGATTTTATTTTGGCTGCAGGCTGCAATATTTCACTTCATACTGGACTAAATTCAAAACTCCCTATCAGTCACTTTGACACAAACACATGGGGAAATATGGTCTAGGTTGAAAAATACCAAAGTTAGCCTTTAACTTTTGGACTTGAACTGAAACAAACAAGTGTAAATCCTACCTAAACCTCAGCGTCCATGAGCGGGTGTCTGAAGGGTTTGCGAGGATTATTGATATTGATATGATGTATCAGTTTAAATTGTTTTAAAATATGTCTCTATGTCTATGTTTTTTTTTAGTACGAGGCCAGAACACAACTGGAAAGATTTGCTGGGAGCGCTTCCATAAGTTCAGCAGACCTTTTTGATGATCCAAAGAAACAGACTGGTAAGAGACAACAGCACCATCGTCTCCCTTACAAACACAATTCCATGTATAATTTTGCTTACCAGATACATTTGTGTATATAAATAAATGTATGTTTAATCACTAAAAGACACATTGAGCCTCATGCATGAATTTTTCACTGCACAAAATCTCTTGTTTCATCTTGATGAATGCCACTTTTTTATGAGGATTTGATCATTTGTTGGCAAAAAGACCAAAGACGTGACATTACAGCAGTTCTGTCTGTGACAGAAATAATGAAGCAGTAATTGGACATGAAGTCGGATACTAAATAAAACCCAATAAGATCATGACTTGGATGGGACAGGAGAATATTAGCCTGTACTGTGTCTCATGTCGGGTTCCTGCCAACGACTACTATTGAAATGTAGTTTCACATTGCACAAGTACAGTTTAGTTTTAGTTATACTCTCAATATTCTGCACACCATACTGCATGTAGTGTATTTTTTCATTATAGTGTTTTCTATTATATATTTATAATATTGTCTTATCTTAATGCATAACTTGTCAAAATATGCCACTAAATTCTTAAAAATAAACCAAAAGGTTGAACCTCTCAGTAAATTTCCAAGCCACGATGATGATATTGTGAACAGAGTATTTATTTATTTATTTATGGATTTCAACTTTTTATTTATATTTTAGTTGAATTCCATCACATTTAAACTCCAATTTAAGGCATTATACTAGTTCTTAGGTGTTAGAAGCAGAGTACAGTGAATTATCCACCAAAGAGAAAATTCTAAAGACAACAAATTCTCTCAAATCACTCGTATGTGCCACCTAATAACAAATATGTTTGTTGAAGCTTGTTGTTCTCTGTCTGTCTGCTTGACTCTGTTTGTTTGTCTTTCTTATGCACACAGTGAGTTCCTACCGTCTGTCCAACGTGCTACCTAGTGCTCCCGACATGTCACAGCTCAAACTGGGAGTGCGCTCAGTCGCGGGGAGGCTCTCCGTCATGGCCAGCGGCGTAGTTAACTCAATTCAGGTTAGTCTGCACTTGAATTAAGCTCATATAAATGTCTTGTCTGATAAATATAAAATTCTAATAATGTATTTTTGTTTTTTTTCTAGGATCACTACAGTTCCTGAGTCACGGTGCGCTTCCTTTTGGATTCAGCGGCCTTATAGTCGTCCTCTGTGTAATGGAGTCAGATAAGTTTCCCAGTGAGTGGAGGTCACTCATCTGGGGTGTGAAAGAAGGAGAAAGATTGATCCGTGCTCTGTGACAGCATCATAATTTGCCCCCAAATAACCCTGTATACATCTATATCTAGTTTTTTATTAGATCCTGTATATACAGCAGTCGTTAGAAATCAAGGTGACCGAAGCACAATATTTTAGTGGAATTATGTTCCTCTGCAGGCATCTTGAAGGGAGATCTACAAGTATAGTTCAGATATGAAGAAGATTTAGTTTGCAGTTTAATACTTTTTTGCTTTGCGATGTTGGGGTTTATATATTTTGGAAGGTTGCTGTTTTTTTTGTGAAGGAGGGATTTGCTTTTTGATTCCTTTAGTTGATGAGAAAAAAAAAATGTAAGCAGAGGAGGTCAATTCAGTTTTTAATTGGTTAACATACTTTCACTCATCATATGCACTCTGTAGTGTCATATTGTGCTTTTTTTTTGCACATTCCCACAGGTTTAAAAGTGTCCTTTCTGTCCCCAAGTGCACTTAATGTTTGCTTTTCCACACATAGGACCAAAACCTGATAAAGAGGCCTTGGGGAACCAGATATATATTTCTTTATTGTGCTTATTATCTGTTATATAAATTGGAATAGGCCTCTTTAGCACATAAGCTTCATTATATTGAAGACAGTTGTTTTTCTAATTTTTTTGGGTCTTGCATTTGTAGTCAAAAAATGACAAGATGGCATAAAAGCCGAAGCAGTTATTACAAAGCAAGTTCAAAGGACACATTTTGAGAAGATGGATACCACTCTCATGTGCCCTTTCAGTACAAAGCTGTAGCCGGCGGCCAGGTAGCTTAGCTTAGCATAAAGACTGGAAACAGGGCAAACCGCGCCAGCCTAGCCTAGACAAAGAGACAGACAAAAGACAGAAGAGCTGAAAAACTTTTGGCTTTTGTATGAATTGTGTGGAACAGAGCCCAAGAGCTTAGTTGTCTTCCCCCTGTTTATCCAGTCTTTTTAATGCTAAGCTAAGCTAATCGCCTGCTGGCTGTAACTTCATATTTAACAGACAGATGTGAGAGTGGAGATCTGTCTTCTCATCTAAGCCTATTCCTTTAAAGAAGTAGAAAAGCAATCAACTTAATGGCACTAGAATGACCCTGCTTGATGTAGGCCAGTTGCACTATGTGTTATATTCTGTTTCCTTTTCCTCAGTCCAGTTGTTTGGACTTTTAAGACATTGTAATCAAGATTATGGTCAACGGTGTAGATTTATTGAATTCGGAGGGGTTCCTTTTTGATGATGATTTGGTTTGAATTTTGTAGCAGCTTTTTTTTTTGGTTGGAGTTTGTGTTTAATATTCTGTGTTGACTTTCTACGTCGCCCCCTTTGGTATTTAATTTCAAAGTTTTGCATTTAAGACTCTAAAAGGCTCGGATTTGATGATGCGGTGGGACCTCTTCGTAGCTTTCAGGCCCCACTGTACAGCAACACGTCCACTTAAAATACGAATGCAAACAATCCCTTTAAAGCCTTCAATGCTGTTATTTTTTTTGTTGCTGTACCATACTGCCAAGGTCCAGGTCTTTAATTGTGACAAATATAACCGAGCTAGGGGGAACAGGTAGCACTACAGGTGGTGCTATAGTGCGATTTGACATTTAAAAGCAATACAAAAGCAGCTTGATATCCGTTCATGGCTCATGGTTTGGGATGACTACAGTATGGCCTGTGCTTTAGCTTTTAGATGAAGTTTCGCCTTGACGCTTCGGATATTTGTATATCTATATTGTGTGGAGTTAAGGGACTGATCAGGAACAGAATGGTTATATTAATGAGCAATGTCTGTACTGTTTATGCCTCTCAGGAGTTGTTAAATATGAAACACTAAAAGAGAGCAAAGTGACAGTTGTAGATCCGTCAGTGACCAAATATTTGTTTACTCCATCACTCTATGCCTTAGTCCAAAGATCTCTCATTAACTCGCCCTCGTAATATTGTGGAGTCATCTAGTTACCCTTTTTTTTTTCTTTTGCACATAATTTGTTAGAAATTGCACGTGGCAGCTTTTTGCTTGAATGTACTGTATTGCAGTTGAACCTTTGCCTCTTTAAGTTGACGATGCGTCCGTCCATGTTAGACTTTTTTTTGTATTTTTGTTGATCTTTGTAAGATTGTTTGTGTCTAATGCTGTTGAATATTATTAATTCTTACATGAAAGAACAGTAGCTTGTGTGTAAGTTGCATGGCCCTAGTTAGTCGACACATCATGAACCCAAGATGACTGGAAAGCAACCATTAAATAATACAGTATACACAATACAATGTTGTATAGGGCTTTGAATTACCATTTATAGAACCCTACTGATAATCAAGTTTTGACATATTTTGACACTCAAAATGTAAGATTTTTGAAAACATGCCAAATAAATGGCTTGTGCTGCACAGAAATGTGTTTTTGTTTGATTGATTTTGTTTGTAAGGAAAAAGTGTCCATTGCAGTTTCACAGAGTGCAAGTTGATGTCTTCAAATGTACTGTCTTTTCTCTACCAAGGAAAACTTAAATATATTCAGTTTACATTGTTGTACAACAGAGAAAAACAGTGAATCCTCACACTTGAGAAGCTGAAATCAGATGTGTGATATGTTTTGTTTAATAAATGGCTTAAAAAATCAATTAATTATAAGAATTGTTGCTGATTAATTTTATGTCTATCACATAATTAATTAATAGATTATTAATTGTTTCAACTGTATTGGAAAGACATTAATCCATGTTTAGCCACCTTCAGGACAAACGCTGCAGCTGGCAGCCGCTTACGTGGCTGGCTGAGGCGTTTATGGTGCTTCCGGCGCTGTCGGAATTACTAGGGTTAAGATTGGGGCTAACGATTTAACAAATTGGTAAACGCAAAAGAAAATTAATATTTTATGTCAAACAGATTGTGCCACTTGAGACATAAGATAAAATATTCATCCAACAGTTTGTTATAGTTACTGTTTTGGTGTTTTTAACTGTTAAGCTTCAAGTGTTCGTGCTTACGAGGAGCACATGAAGGCGTCATTTTTCCAAGGAACTGGGTAAAGCAGAAGGATCGTCATAGCGGTAAAAAACGCAAAGGCCAGACTTTAATTATACTTTTTTATGTTACTATAGTGTCCTACATTATGTATTTATCTGTGAAAGACGTGTTTTATTTTACTCTGCAACTCAACGAATAGCTGGTTGGACTTTTTGTTGTTGCTGTTAGGCCTGTTGAATTCCTTCACAGTAAAAAAGCGACCCAGTTTGCTAAAAGAAAAATGCCTACTGAATTAAAGCAGAGGAAGAAGTCACAGAAACACAGTGATGAAAGTGAAACGTCGGCTGCTAATGGGAAAGATGGAGCTCAGAAAGAGAAGACAGAAGCTGGAAACAGCGCAGGAGCGAATAAAACGTCTCCGAGTTTGGACATTAAAAGTATTCTGTGTTTATTATCGCTGGCAGCATGCGGGGCTCTGAGCTGGTAAGTTAAACCTGATATATTTTCATTTTATTAAAGAGTTTTTGTCTAATGGTTCCTCACTTAAAGTGTCTATGTGTTTCTGGGTTTCAGGATGGTGCTGCAGCAGAATGAGAGGTTTTCCCAAATTGAAGAAAAGTACAAGTTTTTACACGGAAGGACTTCAAGTCTGTTCGACATGGAGGAAGAAGTCTTAAAGGTTTCTAAGAAGGTACGTTTGGTTTACAGTGGCACAGCTGCCTTCAGTGATTCAGCGACTTTAAAGGGTAAATTCACCCAAATTACAGAAGGTTAAATAAACTGCTGTGTTATTTGTTAGTTAGTTAACAGTCACACATTTAGTTCTTAGAGACCTGAGCAAGTAAAACCCAAACCATCTGTGTAGGTAAATGCCATTTAAGGAGGTAAACGATAAAATAAATGGGGTTTATTTGTGTAATTTGGATGAAATGATGCTTTAAGTTTGTGGGATAACAAGAATCCTTGGCTTGTTTTTATTCTTAGCTCTAAAGTTGGAATAACAAGTAGATTTAACAGTATTTTAGTAGTATTTTTATTGGATTTAGTAAAGAAGATATGTGGTACCCAACTGTGAACTGTATTTTTGCTATGTTTTTTTCTTATATGTTTGCTTTTCTTGTGAAATTCTTAATAGTTTGACCTTTTCACCCCCCATACACACATTAAATGGAACAACCTGGGAAGGGTTAGGGTCTTTAACTGTAATGAGCTGCTGTCTGACATTATATAAAACCCTCAGCATGCTACATTTAATTTGTTCTTTGAAATCTTAAGAAACTGAGCATAAATAAATCTCTAGTTTTCACATTTATGAGCACAAAACATTACTTTCTCTCTTCTGTAGTTCACTCCTGTTGTGTCCAGTGCTTCCTGTATGCATGCACTTTGTGTCTGTGATATATGAATACTGAGGACCGTAGAGCTCCCACAGAAACAGCCCTCCTGTTTTGTGTTGCGGCTGCAGCTTGCCGCCTCTGAGGATGACCTACAGGATGTGCTCTCCACCATCTCCTTGGCAACGCGACTCCAGCGGGACATCTCCACCCTCCACGCCGCTGTCATGGAGATGCAGGCCGACGAGAACTCCGCCTCCCGTGATCTGCAGACGGTCAACGCCCACTTCCTCAATGTGACAGAGACGTGGCAGGAGCGCCTGGCCGCCATCACCTCTGACCTCGCTGCCCTCAAGGCCGAGTCACGGGAAGCTCACACCGGAGCCACGGAGCGGGTGAACGAGGCCGAGCGGAGGGCCCGGGTGCTGACGGAGAGGTTGGAGGAGCTGGAGGACAGCACGAAGAGGAACGCCCGAGCCATGGAGCGCGCAGAGGAAGACGACGCCAAGCGAGCGCAGGGTCAGCTGGACTGGAACACAAAGCAGATCCACTACCTGGAGGAGCAGATGAGCAGCCTGAGCAAGAGCAAGGCTGAGCTCAGCACTCAGCTCCAAGAGCACATCCCCCGGGCGCAGGAGTGCGAAGAGTATTTGCCCCAGGTAGAGGAGGCGGTGCGCTCCATCCTGAGGCTCGGGGGTGATCTGAGCGGGGCGGAGAAACGTCTGGAAGAGGTGACCTTACAGGTGTTTGGCACCGAGGACAGCATGCTGAAAGCGCTCAGTGAAATCCTTGAGATGAGACAGGAGCTGGACAACCTGCAGGCTCAAAACAGCATCCTCAAGATGAAGAATGAGTTGTCGGTGGTGAAAGAGGCGGTCCGTGAACTCACCATGGTGCTGAGGGAAAACACGGTGGACAGTCTAAAGGTCTCCGACACTCTGGAGGACGAGGGATGGAGAGAGGAGGAAGAGGAGGAGTGGGAAAAAGATGAGACAGCTCAACCTCTCTATGATGACTTCACTGAGTGAGGGCAACGATTTGAGTGAAAAGGAGTCTTACTATTTGCTGTAAAAGTTCAATACTATTATTTTCAATATGTGTACCTCAGTTTAACGTCAGAACATTGTGACTATCGTTGCATAAAAGTTAGTTAGATACATGCACTGTGTTACACAAGTACAACCAAGAATGTATTTGAATGTTTGTTTAATGTGGAGTTACACGTTTAAGTTTCTTTGTATCGTTGTATGTTGTTTAGAAAACATTCCCCATTACTCTTAAGACAGCCATTTGCACTGATACAGTTATATATCAAAATCTAACTGCATCAATGAACTTTCCAGATGTAACTACCTTAGAGCTGAAACAATCAGTCGATTAATCAAGGTGATTGTCAAAAGTAAAAAAAAATGTTCCAGTTCTGAATTCTTGCACATTTGTTTTTTCTTTCTTATTCAAGCTGAATATTTTATTGTGTATTTGAAAGAAAGAAAAAAAGACAAGCACTTTGAATTCATCACCTTGTGTGTTAAGACAATATGATTTCTTCAAAACAATGAATTAGTTAATCAAGAAAATTGCAGCCCAAAGCTACTTCTCTGTCAGTGTTACTATAGATTTAGAGCAGAAAGATGAAGATGGATAATAAAAGTTAATGTTTTTGATGACTGTTACATTTCACCTGTTGAAAGAATAACCAATCACTGAACTTATTTAATAAAGTCACCTTCTTTATAAGGTCTTATTTCTATAAATTAGTCTTGTTCTCGTATTTAATCCTCTTGTGTGCTTAAAGGTAAATAACCTGAAATATAACTGCTTCTGAACACACACAAACATATAGCGGTTGTCTCTATCAATCCATGTACTGTATGTCCCGTTTCAGTGCGAGAGCGTCCAGCCGATGCTGGAGAGTCTCGGGGGTCAGCGGGGGGCTCTGAAGCCCCGGCTGGAGGGTTTTGAGCAGGACGTGAGCCAGCTGAAGGAGTGGGCCTCTGGGCTGACTGAGAAACGAGTTCAGCTTCAGAGCAGCCTGACCGCACTGAGAGGCGCCGTGGGGCAGATTGAAGAGCGCACCTCAGCGATCACAAAAGACTTTTCCAACAAGGTATGTCATATTGGTTTTGTTTTATCAGTAGGAACCATTTTACTGTTTCTAGTGAGAAGGTGTAGGGAGTGCCACCTGTGAGTCCAGATGCAGGGAATAATATTCAACCACGGGCACAAAGGGCTGCAACTAGTGTTATTTCCATTGATTAATCTTTCTTTTTTAGCCACAAGGTGACCTCTTTAAATGTCTTGTTTTGTACTACCAGCAGTCCAAAATCCAAAGGTATTTAGTTTACTGTGACATACAACACACAAAAGCTCCAAAATATTTGAGATGCTACCACCAACAAATGTGTCACGTCTGCTTAAAATATTTAAATGATTATTTGATTATTAAAATAGTTTAAGATTCATTTTCTGTCGATCAATTAACCATTGCAGCTCTACCAAAAAAAAAAAAATACATATATACTTGAGGGTAAATGAGGAATTTAAATATCCAGATTTCTCTGAACTGAATGCATGTTTGCTGCTGTTCAGTTGACATAGAAGATTTACTGTCTAACATCAGAATTTAATCAAAACAAGTATATTAAATCTAGGGATTCAAATTAAAAAAACATATTTTATTGTTGTAAACCTCCTCTGAGAAAGATTTTCAAAAAGTGCCTCTCATCCTCTGTTCTTCTGTATTCCCCCTGTAGGTGGCATCAGTGAGGACAGACGTGCGCAGGATGGGCGGCCTGCAGTCTGAGCTGGAGTCTCTGCTGACTCAGGTGGGGGAGCTGGAGGACAAGACCACTCAGGTCGAGCACAGCATGGTCAAACGCATCGCAGACGTGCTGGCCAGCAGCATCGACCGAGTGACAGACCTCCGCGCTGCGTCCGAACGCAACAGTCAGGCCATAGAGAAGCTCCGCAGACGCGTCCCTGAACTCACCACCGCTGACAAACAGATCTCTGAGCGCTTGAGGGAGCTGGAGAGCGGCAGAGCTCGTCTGATAAGAACAGTGACCTTCGCTGGTGACCTTAAACCAAAAGTGTCTGCCATTAAGAGGGACTTTAGTGCGTTTGAGCCTCAGCTGTCAGACCTGATTGTGCGGATAGGAAGACTGGCAGATGATCTTACTAAGAGAGAGCAGGAGATTGCCGAGCTTAGACAGACACTGGCCAACCTCACTGCAGTAGAGGGAGATTTAAGTGTTACGACTAAACAGGTTAATGAAATAGCTGATATATCTGATATTGGAGACGTGCACAGACCAACATGAGCAAACACGCTTCGACAACCCTCAGACGAGTGGAGCTCAAGGTTTTATCTTTTGGCTTGCATCTGGTCAACTGTCATACTACTGCTTGAAATAAACCTTTTTACAAACAAATGAATCAAACTTTGTTAACCGAACTCTGATAGTCTGAAACAGCCTTAAGGCACAAACTTGGTAACCCTTAAGAAGTATGAGTGTAAACAACCTGACAGCCGGTTTGTCAGCATTTCTGAAAGTTGCACCATGAAGTTGACTCATGACAGTGATTGTTTCCTTTGTGACCTGGCTGAGATTTAACTGGTTTATTGATTTGCCATCATGATTGATTCCGATGCCACATTTTGATCTGATTCCACACAGTTACTTTATTATCTTGGGTTTTTATATTAGGTTTTTTCATGTGTGGTGTTTTTAAAAGGGTGTGGAAAAGTGGAGGAGATGTAGACAAATGTAATATTTCTGGATTAATATGGTCATTTTTGGTATGAAATATTGGCTGAAGGGAATAGTTCAAGAAATAAATATATAATTGCTCTCTCGCAGAGAGTTACAGACACCACTTTAATGCGTTTATGACAAATTTGAAGCTGCAGCCAGAAGACTGGAAAAAGGGGGTAACAGCTAGTGCAGTTACTTGGTTATAGCTGACACAGTCTCCAATGTCTTTGACATTTGAATTTGAAAACAAATTTGTTTGAGAGGAAAATCTTAGAGCTAGGTCACAGAAAACGTGACATCCAACTCCACATCATTTTTAGGCATCACATCAAGTCCCAAGTTTGGGTACATGTAAATCAGCTTTTTGCTTTTTAAGCATATGCATGCTCACTGGTTAAGGCGAGACTTGAAATTCTAGTTAGTTTTCAAAACTATGTTGTAAGAGTATTTCCTTGAAGTGTACTGGTGAAGAGGCCTCAAACTGCAGAGTCAGGCGTTCAACAAAGAAGCACATTTCCACAGAACACCTGGAAGAGAGTCAAACCTGAATATCCAAAGAGAAATTAAATGTTGCTGTCACTGCTGTGTGCAGATTAAAGAGCTCAGCATGTGGTATTCAGTCTTCAGGCAGTGCAGAACCACGGGAAGGTTTTACATGTATGTCTTGTCACAATATAATGTGGTACTGCTTAATGAGTTGAACTTTACGTGAGAGGTGTATTCAGTAAATTCAGAATTGTATGGTATTCTTGAGGAAAAATATGAATTATGCAATTGAAAATTGGGTTTTAATGTGATTTTAGCAGCCCTTTGGGTATATCACGCCTATCAATGAGTGTACGATTTCAAACCCACCCATAAAATCAATGTATAACCCATGATGTAACAGTAAAGGCAGCTAAAGAAAAAGCAATAAATCATGACTTCACACCAAGAAATAATTATTCACAGCTTTAGGTCAAGAGTTTTTATTCTTGTAAAAAAAACAAAAAAAAAAACATAGTGAGTAAACAAAGGAGTGCTCAAAAAGAGCTTATTATTGCATTTGGTTGGTTTTAAAAAAAAACAAAACAGCATTTTAAAATTAAAACAACAAACAAACAAAAAACTACAGTGCAGAAAGAGTTTGGATTTGAATTCACAGATCAGCAGTCCACCTCTGCTCCCTCTCTCCTGACCAGTTTTCCTCACATTGGCTACTTATCTACTAAAATGTGCAACATTGTGACATAAACCATCAAGTTTGGGAAACAATTCTTCATGAAAACAGGAAAGGAGCGTTATGGTCACCCACTGGGAATCATTCTTGTCCATGTTTTGGTCTCCTGATGTCAAATTGCTAACTCAAAATCCCTAATTTTTCTCGTCGTCACTGGCTTTGGATAAGCCCTCCAGTGTCCGTGTGGTCTCCTGCAGGGCTTCCTGAAGAGTAGCAATCGCCTGATCGTGGCCTTCAAGCTTGGCTGCTTTGGCTTCCAGGCCACCCAGCATGCTTCTTAAGGTCTCCAGCTGCTCTGGCTTCACGCTGTCGCTGCCCTCCACAGCGATGAGCCTCTCCTCCAAGCCGTTCACCTGCTGACCCAGGCTGGAGTCCGTTGAAGTTAGCTGGGTCTGGGCGTCACTCAGGGTGGCCATGTTGGACTGGAGTTCCCCCAAACTGCTTTTCAGTGCCTCCATCTCCTCCGCCAAGCCAGTTTTGACTTTCTCCACAGCCTGCCCCTGTGCGACTAGGGTGCTTTCATGGGTGTCGTACTTGGTGAGTAGTGACTCCACTTTGGTGGTGATGTCTGATACTGATGCCGACAGTGAATCTCCACTCTCCTCTGAGGCTTTAACTCTTGCTTCCAGTTCCTCTGATTGTTTCTTGACCTGAGCAGCTGCTTCATTCAGCTGCTTCTCCACATTACGAACAGCATCAACCGCCTCCTCCACGCTGCTCTCCAGTGTCACACTTTTGTCTGTCAGAGCCTGGACGCTGGCCTCTGTTGCAGACAGTGACTGCCTCAGACTCCCGACGGTCTCTTGCACTACTGACCTCACTGTTTCAATTTCCTGAGAGATCGAGGCCACTTCCTGGTTACGAGTCTGGAGCTCTGATCTCACGGCGCTGATATGCCCCATTAGTGAGTCGGCTGAGGCATCAGCAGCCAGTTTGGCTGTTTTGATTTCAGCTACAGTATCAACAATGGCAGAGAGCTCCTGTTTGATGAGAGCAGGGTCTTCAATGTCACCCAGGCGGGCCTTGAGATCAGCCAGCTGGCTCTGCGACTCTCCCTGGGCTTCGGTGAACTCCGCTACGCTGGCCTTGATGGACTGACTCACCTCAGCCAGACGCTCCTCTACAGTCTGCTCCAGAGAAGAGAAGTCCCTCTCTCGGGCCTCCTTCACCTCTTTGATGCCCTCTGAAAGGTCCCTGAGTAGATCGTTCTGGAGCTTCTGAAGGGCCTCCTCCACCCTCCTCGTCTCCACCTCGCCCCTCTTCATCCGGCTGATGGCCCCCTCCAGCTCCACCCGTGTGATGCCCAGTGAAGACTCCAGGCCATCCACAACACTCCTCAGAGACTCCACCTGCGCAACAAGAACCACATTCAGCATCTTCAGTGCATTTTCATCCCTTTTACAATATGATTGAACATATGTACACTGTAATGCACTCCAATACAATGACTGCTGTGAAAATGATGTATCTCTAAAATTTTATTGATACAAATACCATTATCGATTCTGTTTATTGGTCCGATTCATTGTCAATTTGGTGGCACACGATACTAGGAGGAGCTAAGAAACACAGCCCTGTTTTCAGCTTTGAGGCAGATGATAAAGTGGGTTTTTACATATATATTTTAAATTAGAAAAGCAGGAAAATTCTATTGTTTATCTTAAATATTTAAAAATAACCCAATTTGGAGATACATTGATTTAATTAGACAGTTCCAGTTTAACAGTTCTGAACAAACGTGCAACCAAACCCTCAATTTTGCAAATATTTATCACAAAGCTCCACTTAAACATTTTCCTGACGTTTCAATCAACAGAGACACATCTGTTCACTGATGAAGACCATGCAATGTCGTTGAAAGCTGAGGAAAATTCTTGAAAGTGGGTTAACTCATGTAAATTTTGTAAAAGTCCTATAGCTGTTATTCCTAAGGTCAAGAGGACTTAAGAACTTTGATAGTCGTTACCTCAATTAAGCAATTTGATCTTTGGACTTTCAAATATTACACAAAAATATTTTGCATATTAATAAAGTTTTTGGTAAAATGCTTAAAATTTAGATGAGCATGGAAGTTATTTTTTTACCTTTAGAATAGGGTACATGTATTTAAAAAGGGAACTAATGCAGTGAAAAATAGAGAAATATGGCTTTATTTAAAGTAAATAACTTACTTAAAGGATGGTGCAGGTAATATATAAATCATCGTCCCTCAGTATTGGTAATATAAGTACTATTTTAGAGGTCAGCTCCCACCCAAAGTACCACAAACAGGTTGCACCTGGACATTTGCATGAATAGAGTTATGTCACACAACTGAAGACCGGTTGAATACACAGTGTACTATACATTCAGGTAAAAACCAATACAGGTATGAGGAAAGAATGAATGAATGGCATTTATTAACAGTTAATGTAAGTATTTAATATTTGTATTCCTTGGAAAGAGATTGATGATCAGATATGACCACTTATGTGTCAATTTAAACAAAGGCAGGGGGTTTCTTTTACTTGCTAGAGACAATGTGAGCTCATCCTTATCTGCTCTGTGCAGCTTAATCTGTTGTTCTCACACAAAAGAAAGCATTCAAAATAGAAAAATAATGCAGAAAGGATTTATTTTCACCAGGTCTGAAACTTTTATTTTCTACTTAATAGGACTTAGGTGAAAATGAAAAGGTAGAATGAGTTCACCAAATCCATCACTGTGGTTGACCAGAACATACCCAACCCCCAACAGAACATACAGTACAAACAAATAGGCCTTATGGACAGTTATGTAATTGTACACAGAGTTATCTCCAACAAAAACAATCATATGCATCCCCTATGTGTGTTTTGGATTTCACTGGAAGTTGTGAAAAAGTTTGGGAACTCCTGCTAGTGTAATTCACCCTTCTTCTCCCCCCCATTGATACTTTCTTCCTACCTGTTGAACGACGCTCTCCATTTTCCTGCCCAGCTCTGCGTTTTGCTTTGCGCTCTCCTCATGCCTGGCGTTCGTCTGCTGGATTTCCTCCACCACTTGCTGCAGATAAAAAGCACCAAACCCTGCAGCGCCTAGTAACGCAATATAAAAAACTGTAGTCGCAACAAGCCCGAGGCAGCTCCCTGACCGTGGCCCCTGGGGTCCCGCACCACTCACACCGTTACTGGTGCTCTTTGGGCTTTTCTTGGACGCATCCTCTTGGCTGGATGCGGCGCTCTTCTCACTCGAGCTGTTCTTCTGTCGGTTTTTCGCAGTCATCCTCAGTGTGGGAGCTCGCTGAGATTATGTATGTGTGTGTGAGATGTGAGGGAGTGAGTGCTGCTGGTTTTTGCAGTCGTGGATGGAGAGTGTTTCCAGTCCAGGCCCACTGACTGGACCAGCAGCGTATCAGTGAGCGCGTCGTGTCTTTCCACGGGGCTTTTTTTTTTGCGTTGAGGTATGCGGATGGGGGCTGTCCCATGTTCAGCTCCAGGCTTTGTATGGGTCCAGTTTAATGACACAAAACAGCAGGAAATAATTAATGATTTCTACTACTCTTACACTTCGGTGATCGTGCACTATTTCTACATCAGAAACCAGCCATCATATTTGTTTGGAAGTCTCTGGGTATGTTTGCGCAGAAGCATCTCTCTGATGCAACAGCAGAGCAGTGATGTTTCCCCAAAAAGGTTTAGGGTTTTATGGTGGTTTATGCAACTTCTGTGAGTATTCAAATGTCTGTTTCGAAATGAGCATCAGGTTCATTTATATCTTTAAGTAACTTAAAGTGGAGAAAATGAAAGGATGCACCACTTTTGGACAAAACGTTGAACCAAACGGTCCATAATTAACATCTAAATGTCCATCTGTGTGTTTCTGACTTAGACAAACCTCTTTTATACCCTCCTCGTTATATAACACACGTTCATAACTGCACGTTGTAATTCTTGATGCAACACTGATGCAAACTTTCTGCAAGCGGTTTATACCGGAGCCGAGCAGTTGTTGCAGGGAGGGGCTGTTTCTTCCCTCCAGCTCGCTCCTCCTTTCATACGTGGCATACTGCTGTTAAATCCCCTGGTTACATCTCTCCACAGAGAGACACTTCAACTGCACTCACAGTTTCCACACAAAAGAATAAGTCCATTTTACTTCTTTAGAAAAATGTGAATCAATATTTTGTTTACGGCCCTTGAATTGTAAATTAAATTAATACATTTTGTTTGTTTGTTTTCTTCAGTTAGGTCTTATTATTATATCACTAATTGCATTGTCATAATATTCAATAATGTTTCCGTGCGGCTTTTTAATGTCCTTATGTGCATTTATTCTCTAATTTTAGAGAATATTAGAAAAATAGTTATTTTTCCACTTATTATGCTTAATTTTGCTATTTTGCCAAATAATAACCCAGAAGGCTACCTGCCATCCACAAACATATGAATGTAAAAACCCTTACTTGGCATTTTGAACATAGGATGAAAGGAAAGGGAGCAAAGCATGTTTACATCCTCGGTTTAAACGCTAGATGTCACTAAAAGAGAATTTATATAGTCTGAGCAAACACTGACAATAACCCCCTGAAGCCAACTCAAACAATGCAGCATACACACGTATGCAATGTCAAACGATTATTCTTAAACCATAAATACATGTAAAGAACCTGTAAATGATTTATATTAAATCATTACAGCGTCTTCCTGTAATAGGCAGATCGTTACTGAGTTATTAGCAGAGTTAACTTTGTAAACGACTTTGTGTTTAAGATCAACAAAGAAACCAGAACAGTCAAAGTGTAAAGGCTTTTAAAAACTTTATTTCCAAAAAAAAGCGTGTTTGCTCGAGGTAGTAGACAAATACATTGAAAGTAGAGTACAAATAGATAAGTTGTGCAGTATTTCAGTATATCCAGGTATAAGTTTAGGAAAGATGTGAAGACTTTAAAGTTGGGTTTTTGTTTTGCACATTTTCTGGAGTGTAAATGTATCTTTGCTAATAAAGGAATAAGATTAATAACATCTATTTTATCCACAGACATTTCATTTCATTAATGCAACTGCCAAATTTGAGTCGAGTATCTAATTTTTTTAATCAAAAAAAGCCAATTTAAGTCAGTTTGTCAAGTTCATACCAAAAGGGTTGACTAAAGGCACAGTTTTTAAAATAGGTAAGTTACAAATTCAGCCGTGTTGTGATAGAAATAACAAAACAATAACTCAATCAACAGGATAAAATCTACAATATTTCCCATACCTTACGTGAAACTAAAACCTACTACTACTACTACTGTATATTTTTTTTATATTTCTTACA